GGGGGGGGGGGGTGGTAAATAAAATTCAATTTATATTATCAGCTCTATGAGATAGAAATAATTGTAAAAATATATCTTTATGATAAATATTAAATTATTTTAAAAAAATAGAACGTTATAATAACCTAAAGACAATGTAACAACGGGAGATTTGAATACTTTGGCCATAATAATAATAATAATAATAATAATAATAATAATAATAAGCTTCGATACAAAAAAAAAAAACCCCTTTCAAAATCAATAATAATAATTAAAGTTCGAACTTTTTTCGCAAATACAATTCTTACAATTTTTAAACGCGACAAATCAAATCCTCGTAGCCCGAAACCATTTATTCCTCTAATTGGCTACAAGTTATAAATAATAAACTAGACATTTTCAAGTAATCGTAGCTAGAGCTGCTTTTTAAAATAGTATCGACATGGAAGATGATGCTACTGCACATACGCAATTAACATTTACCAACTAATATTGATTGAAGGCTTTGATAGGCTCTAGCTAGGATAAGCTACCATTTAATCATTTATAAATGCCTATCCGCAAAGAGTGCAAGTACAATAAATTGGTTTCACATTGATTTCATTTATATTTATAGACAGCCAGCCAGCCTTTCGGTTTCAAAGTTATAAGATTGGTACAAGTTGTTTGGATGATTTTCTATCTTCCTTTTTCTTGCTCGCGACTTCCGCGCCATGCCCGAGTGCAATGGAAACTTTTCCTGCCGTTGTGTTAAAGCATTGAAGAAGGAGACGGACAACGGGGACGGGCTCGGTGATGTGACTGAGAATGTGAAAAGTACGGAGTCCCATTATAATGAGTGATTTACTTCGGGAAATCTTTAATATTTATAAAAGTTCGTACGATCTCTTTTCCACTGAGTATCAGCTTCGTCAGCCTACTTCTTTCGAGAGTTCTAGAATTATTTAAACCAACGAGGCGAAAATCAAATAAATTTCAGAATCGTGCTCGCTCGTTGGAAAGCATTGCGACGAACATAAACAATGCCCTAGTATGCGTACGTTCGATATTTCACTCTCCAATGCATGTTAAATAATCGTTTAATTTTTCACTGCTATCATGAAGAAAAAACGCAGACAGCACAATGCTAGTGTGGAGAAAAGCGGAGATTCGACGAGATGTACCGATTCATGTAACAGTATGAGTACATTTACATTCCCTATAATTATTAATTTATCGTTATTTAATAACGATTGAAAATTTCTTAATTTGTCAAAAAAAAAAAAAAAAAAAAAAAAAAAAAAAAAAAAAAAAAAAAAAAAAAAAAAAAATAATGCAATTTTTAGAGCGATTGGAATGCCAACATTTTCTAAAGGCCGTTAATTTGAACAAATTGAGAAAAGTAGCCAAGGATAAAAAGAATATCTGTGTCGAATGTCTCAAAAATAAGGATCCCGTAATGATTGACGACGAAGTAATAAGAATTATTGCCTATTGAATGATTTATGTATTTTTAATAGAATTTTTAGTAATATACGATAATAATTTTCTGTTGCGAAAACCATTTTTAGCTGTTCTGTAAATCTTCTGAATTATGGATTTGTTTGCAATGTGGACATTCCGTATGTAAAAAAAGTGAGAATAACCATGTGAAGAAACATTTCGAGACTAGTCGAAGTACCGAACATTGTGTAATGATTAATACTTTCGATTGGACTGTTTGGTGCTACCGCTGTGATAAAAATGTTTATCATAGGTATGTTTATGATTCTACCGCATCACGAAATTTCAAAGTTTTAAATTTCAAATTAATTATTTCATTACGTATTCCATCGTTTATAGTAATAGTGGGAGTAAGAAGAAAATCCTTGAAGTTACGGAATTATTAAAAAATTCGATAAAGTCAAATAAGCCAATTCAGCCAAAGCCTTGTATACCACTGTGCCAAAATGAGAAATCCAGCACAGACAATGATAATAAAGCAATATCGAATGATTTTCCTAAAGTCGGGGTATGTATTTATACGGCCGCTCGTTCGGTAATGCCCGAAACCCTCTAACTTATTTGTATTTGTAGGGATTAACAAATTTAGGAAATACTTGCTTCTTTAATGCAGTACTACAATGCCTTGCACAGACACCATATTTAATTAAAGTCTTGGATGACTTGCAAGTGCCTGGACAAAAAATTGTAATACCTGGTGGAGGGTTTAAAGGAGCTGATAACAAAGAAGTTGACTTGGTATATCGAAGATTTTTAAAATATTGCCTATTAAATTTTCTTTAATTCTATTAATGTATCTATCATCTGCGCATTGACTTTTAGCCACCCATAGAGGGAGTTTTACAAAAAACTGGTACTTTTACGCCTATATTACGTAAAACTCTTACAGAAATGCAAAATTCCAATGGTCAAGTTTATAATCCTTTAGAATTATTAAATTCATTAAGGGAAAGTACAAATCAATACACGGACGGTGGTCAACACGATTCACACGAACTTTTGAGGCATTTATTAGAACAAGTTCGTAGCGAGGATCTACAGGTACAATATTAACAACTATTCGTTATTCCATTATACTATATTATTTTATTATATTATATTATTTAAACTTATTTACTTTGAAAAAATTATACAAAAATTATTTTTGCTCCTTTAGAGGTACAAAACAATAATTTTACAAGAGCTCGATCTAACTGAAAAATCGAAACGTCAGTGTATAGACAGTAATTTGAAAGATCGTGTTAAATTCTATGGAAATCAAGCTAGTGCTAAATTATTGGGCCCAGAGCGAATTTTTAGGGGAGAATTATTCTCAGCTCTTCAATGCTTAAATTGTCGTCATTACTCATCTCGAGCTGAGCCATTTCTAGATCTTAGTTTACCTGTCTTGGTTGAAAAATCACAATCTCCTAATCTTAAGTAAGTTTATTTTATATGTAATTAGTGAACTGGTAAAGGAGGAAAAAATTTAAATATATATAATTAAAATTTAAGATAATATTTGAATATTTTTAACATTTTTATCTAAACAAAACAAAAACAAAACAAAAATAAACAACAACAAAATAAAACAAGGAGGAAAAGCAGTGGATTGGAGAATTCAATAGACTCGATTATTAATTCCAATAATTCTTCTACACAAGAATGCAAAAAGACTTATAAGGCCGCTAATAAGAAAAATAGAACAAATAGAATAAAAAATCGTGATATTACTAGCCCATCTATATCTAATCCAAATCGTATATCTGAAGAAAAAAAAGAGAATGTAATAGAATTTGGTAACTATAAATTATAATTATAATATTATTATTAAAATTTAACAAATAGTTGTAATAGGTAGAATAAAATTTTCATCTATGTTTTGTTTTCAGAGGAAAGCGATGCCGATGTAGAAGATAATATTGAAAACGAAGATGTTTCAATGCCAGAAATCGGTGAGTCGGGATACAGTTCAGAAAAACCATCCGCAGTCACAAGTCCAGAATCTCTTTCAGAATTTCGAGACACCGAACAAAATACTAATAATCTAGAGCTAAATGTCCTACCTGTTCTAAGCGATACATCAAGCAATTTTCATATTATGCAATCAGCCTACAAAAACAGCACATCACCAAGCCCAACAGATATTTCAATGATAGATATTACGGAAAATAAAAGTATTGAAACAGCAGAATTTTCTCATTTAATTTCTCTAGCACATTCTGATATCACAAGTCCCGAAGGACCTACTATCAGTCCAATGAGTACTCCATTTACATCTAAAAATACTTCATCTACCTCGGTTTCGAGCGACGAAGAACGAGTGTCAGAGAAAATTGACCAACCCTTTTTAAAATCTAAAAGTTTTGAACAGATTGATTTGAATGATCAAGAAAGTTCTATGCAGTAAGTATATTAGCATTATCTTCAATTTTATAAGTTTGAGAATGAATAATTTATTTTGCAGGACAAGCGTTGACTTAGCAGATGAAAATTCAGGCGATAATGAAAATGACACGACCAAACTAACTAATGGCATCGGTGATATAACATCAGGTATAACAAAATTGGATTTATCAATCTTCTCTGAACCATCGATTTCATATTCTAACGAAGGAGAATGTTCGATACAATTGTGTCTTAATCAATTCACTAAACATGAATTAATGAATGGGAATAATAAAGTGGGTTGTGCTGCTTGTACAGAAAGAGAAAATAAGGTATATTTTATTCTATTTCAGGAAAAGTATATTAAAGTATCTTATTGCGAATACTCTTAGATTTTGTGCCTGTTAGGAAATCCTTTGATAATAATATAATACAATACCTTGAGTAATAAATTAAAAAGTATAATTGTAATTCTTTAGGGTGAAAAGGAAGGAGTGAAAATGGTTTGTACAGATAGTATAAAAAAATATTTGATTTCTCAAGTACCAGCAGTTCTCATTTTACATTTAAAAAGATTTCAAATGCAAAAGTTCAGTTTCCGTAAAGTATGTAAGCATGTTAGTTTCCCGATGCTCTTAGATTTTGCACCTGTCAGCAAAGATAAACGCCAGGTATATGCATTATATGGTGTGGTTGTGCATACTGGAAATTTATGTGGAGGACATTATGTATCTTACGTAAAGGTAATTGATATTGACAAAAATAAAATTTATGAAATTATAAAACATTGGATAAATAACAATTTTTCTCTTTCATTTAGTCAAGAGCACCGTTAAAACCAAACGATCCCAGATGGTCATTTTTACCTTCGAAAGATAGTTTTCCAAGTGATGAAACATCAAGCGAGTCTAATTTGGACTTGAAAAAGAGTGAAACTATTGATCTTGAAATTACAGATCCTAAAATTACTGAAATTCAAACACCACCGGGTCAGTGGTATTACATCTCTGATTCTAGGTATGTGTTATTTATTATTTCTTATACACACGCACGCACGCACGCACACGCACAAATATGTGCGCGCATGTGTGCGTGTGTTTTATCATTTATGCCGTTTAATAAATGTTTATAACATAAATTCTTGAATATTTTAGAGTTCAAAAAGTAGATGAAAAAACTGTTTTACAAAAGGAAGCTTATTTGTTATTCTATGAAAGAATACTGTAGATTTAGTTTTAATTTAAATACTCCACACCCGTCAATTCGTGTTAATTATAATAAAATAAATTAACTAATTAAAACAATAATGCCAATTTAAACATTATCAGCACTCACTAATGACTTGTGTAAATTGTTTAGTAATAAATATTTTCTCAAAAATGTAAAAGAAATTCGCACGTCGTATCAAAAGCATTAAAATCGTTTGAATTTTTAGTAATTTTAAACATTTAATAATTAATAATATGGTATATGATTTATCGTAGATTCTATTGCATATTCGATTATCATTTATTTTATAAATTTAATCAAGGTAAATATGTGTGTGTGAAGAATGTTATCATTTAAGATAAAAAAAAAGCATCATGTATTCAATAATAATTTAAGTTTAAGAAATAAAGGAAATATAAATATTGCATCACGATCAAATTAAAAAATTTGTCAATTTTAATGATGTGTGATTATTACTTGATGTGCATTTTATTGCATTTGCAAAAGAAAATTATTCATAATTTGTATTATATCGATAAATAAAGTCCTGTTTAAAAAAATTATTTTATTTTTCTCTAATTTGTTGTTAACACCCATAATAGGATACATATATATATATGTATATATATATATATATATATATATATATATATATATAAATGGTATGTTCTTTCTGACAACAGTGGCTATTATTAAAATAACCACTATTAGTAAAATTGTGTGAAGAATAAATAATAAATTTTGAAATTGTATATATATTTTGATCAATGAAATCTTATACACTGTAACGCTAACATATTTCCATAAATAAGAAGGATCAATGTCCATTCCTTACATGTTACTATTTTAGTGAGAAAATGTATTAAAAAATTAAAGTATACAATCCATTTAGTATTAAAGGCTTTCAACGTGTAAAATTCAATTATATTCAAAGATCTTAATTATTAAAAGATTTTTCAATATAATAATTAGTAGATGAGAATGTACTGAAAATTTTTAAATATTTCAGTCGACATATTGTTTATTCAATATCGTAATACAGCTTTAAATTAACAATTATTTTATCATATGTGTAAATATTTTGTACTGCATTACCATTAGTACAGATATAAAATAATAAAATAATAAAAGTTGCGAAAAACAATATGTAACACTTTGCCGATAACGATACATTTTACATTTATAAACGTTTATTTATATATGCTGTTGTTTTAAATTTATAAAATCCATTTCGTTATCATATAAAATTTTTAATTTGTTAATGGTGTGCATTTGTATTGCGCATATATCACAATTAATAATTAATTGCACGTACGTGTAATTCGTTGCCAATATCAATATACAAACATTTACAATATGATTTATAATGATAATATAGATCATTAATTCGTACTGAATTTTTTGTCTTAATTCTTAAAATTACGGATTATTGTATATTTACAATTAATTAATGTAAATTGAAAGTTATATGGTGTAACGAGTTATGAAAGGAAATACGATTTTGCATTATTTCATTCGCCGGCTTATACAATAATTAATAAAAAGAAAATATTAATAATAATAATTATTATTATAATAATTATAATAATAATAAAAGCGATCAGAAGTATCGATTGAAAAAATATAAATACATTTTAATCTTTGGAAATAAAATGATATTGACACATGTAAAAATAGAAATAAAAGTAAAATAATAATGAAAATGAAAACAAAACTGTATAGAGATGAATAGGCTCCTTATGACTGAGAATGCCATAACTTAATGCTGATTGGAGCAAAAAGTTCTGATAGCATTCGAGGACTCAATGTGAGTCACTGAAAAAGCAAAAATACCTCATCATCTACTGTATGACCTTTAACATTGTAGAGATTATAAAGCAGATTGTATTGTTAATCGTATAAGAAAATAAAAATAGAAATAAAAGTAAAAGTAAAAATAAAAATAAAAATAAAAATGTTTATACCCCATTGATAATGCCCTGAGAGCTGATTCTGGCTCTAGACAGGTGGACTTTGGCAAAATTTACAAAAAAACGTTCTGTGTTTGTGCATCTAAGTAAGTATGCTGCATAAATAAAATATCGGGCGCTTAATTAAATAAACGAAAGGCCAAACATGAACAAATTTAAACCATTTGACCATTTTGAAACTACGTTCTCTAGCTCTTGTCAATTTCATTGATAGTATATTAATATATTTATTAATATATTAATATTATTAATATATTTGAAGAAGAAAGTGCAATCCACGTTCTTACAAGTATTGCGCTATCTATGCACTATCTAATTGATCATACTAGGCGAAGAAATTATTGCGCAGCACAAGCAAATATATCAATATGCACAAAATAAAATATTCATTATCTAATCGAACTGCCTACCTAATTTTAAATCTTTCTTATGAATCAAGTTGATAAGGGACGGGGACCGTAAACAAATAAATTAAACGACCGTCGATTATCCTGGCTACTTTCGCGTTTCACTTAAACATCTAGACATCAAAGCAATTATCCTTGTTCTTTGAATTCTAAGAGTCAATCTCACTGAGATTTGTACACTGACCATAGTTCACATTGCATCTTTATCCGTTAAAATATTTATACAATAATAGAGTACAGGAATTTGAGCATCTTTCTGTATCAATGTGTTTGTACATAATTCGTTAAACTATATGCAACTCTAAAGGGAAAGGCCATAATGATTTTCGCGAAGCTACGTGGCCGCTTGGATTTTTATCGCTGGATAAGAGATCGATTTTCGTGGCCTAACATTACGTAAACTAATGAGCCATCATAATATGGAAAATTTATCCTCTAATGAAAATTATTCGTTTAATGAACCATTTCATTACGATACAACGCTACTCTCACGGAGAGTACGTCAAATAATTGTTTTCTCTCTCTCTCTCTCTCTCTCTCTCTCTCTCTTTATTTTCTTCTTATTTTTCCTTTTCTTCTTTTTTTGTTTTCGTATTACGTTAAATGTACACTGCACACATTTTCTCTTCCTGGCTCTACGTATCGCGTGACAAAAAATCACAGCATCTTTCCGTCAAACTTTCAACAATCTTCGTTCGCTCTTGAAGATTTATTTACGCCATTCCTTCATTGAGCACGGGAAAGCCCAAGTTTCCAGTGGAATTACTGCAGGAGCTCTTTACCATTGTCACAATTTTCCAATTCATATTAATAATGAAAATAAATAAAAAAATCACATAAAATTCATGTTCGATATTCTTAAAGCACCCGACCGTTCCGCTTAAAAATTTGAAAATAATAATAGTATTCGGCAAAGTGCGGAGAACAGGTAGGAGTGGCTCGCGGAAAGTTACGAGCGTAACGGCTTGTCGACCAATAGAAGCCGAGTCGAGAGTCCAAGGAGAGCATCTTAAGCAATAATAAGAGTCTTTTGTAGATTGTTGAGCTCGAGAAGTCGTTAGACGCGAGGAACGCTCAGCCCCGTCGGCACGTGAAACGAGCGCATCAACCTGCTTCGCGCGGCACCGGATGATGAAAATTATAATTTCCGGCTTAGAGTTTCGGGAACATCGTGAGAATGGCCGCGCAGATCTGCTGAGGATCGGTCTTACGCGGATGAAGAGCCATCGCCGCCTGCACTTGCTCCTCGGGGAAGATGTTGGCCAGGTGGTAATGCAGATGCCTGCGAGCATCCTGATGATGCTGGCTCGTTTCCCAGGTGGGTGCTTGCAGGATCGAAGCGTGACCGCTTAAGAGATTCAGCTGGGGATCCGAGGTGCCGAGACGTTGGATAGGTAGAGTCAACGAGGCTCCGGTGACGTTCCCAACGCTCGCGTTGTTGCCGCTGACACGAGGTGGCCAGGCCCGATAGGATCCCGGAGCGGATGCTATCCGAGTCACATGTTGATGACGATACTGGCGATGTCGTTGCTGATACTGTTGCTGATGCTGCTGCTGACGTTGCTGATGTTGTTGTTGTTGTTGTTGCTGTTGTTGTTGTTGCTGTTGTTGTTGCTGCTGCTGCTGTTGCTGATGCTGCTGCTGCTGCTGCTGCTGCTGCTGCTGCTGCACGTCCAAATCCTCGGAACCAAAGTGCTTGAGGAGATCCTCGGCGAGGGATTGTTGTTTTTGATGTTGATGCTGTTGCTGGTGTTGATGCTGATGCTCCCAGCTAAAGAAAATTTTTAAATTTTATATTATGGTTTTATCGTATCGTTGATGCCAATCGCCAATTTTTCTCAATAATTCAATCTTGGAAAAAGCTGGCAACATATAACTTCGGCACCCGTGTGCATTTATCGTGAAACGAACCGACATTGAACCAAAGATTAATATTTTACTGTAATTTTACAAACTTTGTGCAAAAAAAGAATAAGAAAAAAAGAGACAAATTTATTTCACATTTTCTCGAGCACGCACACACATGCACACGGAATTTTTTATATATAGATATACATTTTATTTATTTAATTTTTATTTAATTATATTCTTGAAAAATTAACTCTTATTAAAATGTATGAGTCTTGATTTATCAAGTTCTCATAGACAATAACAATTTAAAATTGATCGATCAAAAAATTAATTCATCTTCCAAGTTACTTCATTCATTCCTTAAAAACTGCTTTTCATTTACGTATATAGTTCAACGTATCCGACCGCTTTTAAATTCTATTCGTTAAAATGTCCAACTTATAATAGATTAAATGGTCATTAATCACGAATGATTGCAATCTATATTCTAAGGAGAGTTTGAAAAATTGCTAAAAGATAATAGTAAATAATTAAAACGAATATTACAGACAATTAATCGATCGATTGGAGTGTCGTGTACATTTATCGTCGCTTCATCTTAGATAATTGATGACAATTAAGAATTCCATAACAGCGCATACGGTGTATGTCTTTTATTTACCTCATTGAGACCGGATAGGAGGAATCATTACTGACGCGTACTGTTAACTGTCTACTCTGTATCGCTGAATGTGGCGAATTAACGATCGATTGAGCGGAACGAAGCGTTTGCGGCTGTTGCTGCTTCGGCGAGGCGACCAGTTGTTGTTGTTGTTGTTGTTGCTGTTGCTGTTGCTGATGCTGTTGCTGTTGCTGTTGCTGTTGCTGTTGCTGCTGCTGATGGTATACTGGTAAACGATTGATTCGCGGATCGCAATTGGGATTCAGCGTCAACTGGCGCTGGAGTTTCCTGTGCATGTTCGCCGGCTCTGGATCAGGATTTACAATTCTAGGCGCTATCCATCCAAGCGAAGATGGATACCCTTTTTCAAAATATAATCATCAAATTATTAAATCGGATATGAACAGTTTTTAAGGAAAGGTTCTTATTAAAACTTAGATCAACTTTATGGTTCATTAAATGCTGCACTAATCGATCTCGGGAATATCATTATTAATAGGTCGAAATTGGCAGTTGGCAGTCGGCCGTCCAAACTTTTAATAGCCAGTCAATAATTATAGTCGATATGACATTTTCTCATTCTTCGATTAACAAATAATAAATAAATAAACTAGCCCATCAAACGCGAATTTAGACGTGGTTTTTTCTTTAAGCGCGACGTAAGACAATCCAAACGCAACGACATCCGGGACAGAGGGGGGCAAGAGTCACTTCCCTCTATTAGAGGGAGGAAAGAGTCACTTCCCTCTATTCATCGATTCGACGAACGAACTTTAAAGAAAAATAAACGAAGGACAAAAGAGTTAAAAAGCCATTGAGCCGCCATGGCTCTTGAATAATGGATGGCTCACCTTGAGTTGTTTGAGCTGCGAGGATGGACTGCGCGTAAGCGATGGGTACGACGTGGCTCTGTGGCCCCTCCGCGGTGACATTCTCCGCGGATCTGCTCTTGGAGGCGGGGCTGGGATCGCCGGCCGCCCAGGAGCTCGTCTTGCTGAGGAACGCATGCTGGACAGTCAAGGGCAGGCTGAGGCTGGGCCCGCGCGCCTGCAGGTGGCGCTGAGCGTGCTCGACGAGTCTCTCCGTCACCGACTTGTGCGGATGTGAGCCGCGCTCCGGGTGCCGGAACTTGCATTTGTTGCCGTACGTGCACTTCTGTAAAAGATGATGGGCGATGTGATGGGAGGCCGCACACGCCGTTACACAACGTGGACGGGGTTAGGGGGATCGGCCGACTTCGTTAAACTAATTAGTCAGTATCGGGGCATGACCGAGTCGCGCTCGCTACTTCTTTACGACAATAATAATCATCCTAATGAATGTTTGTAAAATGAAAATAAATATCAAAAAGAAGAAAAGAAGAAAAGAAGAAAAGAAGCGAGACCAATCGTGCAGGTAACGTAGAATTTTGACGGAAGCTAGAGAGGCCAATTTTCGCCTTGATCCCGTTCTCTTTTGGCGCGCATGTGCCGCTTGAAAGCATCGGGCCAATTTGAATGCAAAAATGCTAAAAACATCTATGAGCAACGTCCGTTTGCCGGAATTTATGCTTTTTACGTTGAAGTCTCGTAACGACTGCACCTGTCTCGGCTCGGAACGAACAAAAGACCGTGTTGCCTGCTACTTGAAATGATGTGCCGGCCTTTGTGATTGGCCATTTTTCATTGCAGACGAATAATAGCCAAGCCCGAATGTAGCGTCGTTGCAAAGATATATATATATATATATATATATATATATATATATATATATATATATATAGAGAGAGAGAGAGAGAGAGAGAGAGAGAGAGAGTCAAACATTATTAGGGAATGATCGAAGTTGTAAGATCCTTGCGTAAAATCGTGATAAAACGCGTATTTCTCGCTCGAATTCGTCCGGGGATTCATCGACACGTCGCAATTAACGCATTTCGCAGGTCGCTCTACGGCCGAGATTATGTATGATGTATGATGTATGATGTATTATGTATGATGTATGATGAATGTTGGGTAACCTTTGCGTATGGGCAGGGTGGAGCGGGCTCCGAGCGCCTAAGTCCGACTCTGAGGAAGTTGTCGAGGGTCGGTCCACTCCTACCGAGCGGATCGTCCGGCGGCATGAAGCGATCGTTGACGAAGCTGTACATGAGAATCCTCTCCTCGACGACCTTTCGGAACTCGGGATTCTCCTGAGCGAGGTCCCGATAATTGTCGTTGCTGACGACGATGCCATCGACCTCCGCGGCCAGCCTCAGTATGTAGCGGTCGTCGTAACAGACCATCCGCTTACCACCGACGAGCCTTGGGACACGGAAGGCCAGTTCGTTTAATCGTGCAGTGACGAGTCGCGGCTCGGCTCTACCTACCTCGAGGGCGTGAAGACGAGGAGCCGATCGCGCTCGAGCTCGGCCAGTATGTCCTGCTCGACGATTGGATTATCGGGCCGCGAGGCCTCCTTACGCCACTTGGGCACGAAGACGGTGATCTCGCGGTGGCCGCGGGCGCGCAACCAATCGACGCAAATCTTAATGCCACGGCAAGAGAAGACCTCCTTGTTGCCATGGCTCATGGCGACGTTACTGCCGTCGACAACGACGGGGCGAAGGGCCTCGTGTTCCGGGCCCGCCGTCGCCTCCTCGACGCCGTCCGTCGGCAGGAGGGCCTCGGCCGCCGACTCGTCCGCCGTTTCGGCGAGCCTCGGCGCCCCGCTCGCCCCGAGCTTTATCAACTCGGCGAGTAGCTCGTTTTGCCCGGGTTCGGGGCCCAGCTTCTGCAGTGCCGCTTGAACCAGTCGCTCCGTATAGCCGAGCTTGAGGGCGAACTCCACTCGAGCGGCGTAGCCTGCGGATGGATAGGCATAGTTTTTACGAGCCGCGCTCATTCGTCACAAGGACGAGTTGACGAGTCGTCGTCGTGCGTTAATTAATAATATTGCCGATGCCTCGGTCGATTGCATCGCGTAGACTTTGAGGCTAATTTCAATTCGAATCTCTATTCCATCGTCGTTGCCGCGATGGAGGCAATCCTGTTTGCGCGTGACGTTGGCTATATTGCGATACACGCGTTACCATTATTGACAATGAACGCGTGAATTACTTGCACTTGCGCCGTTAAGGAGGTAACGAGGATGAGCAGGCTTTCACCCGCTGACTATACGATTTTTTGCGATCGCAATGCCCACGGTAATCTGGCATTGTGAGAAAGAAGGAGAGGAGAATAAGGTAAGGTTTTCACTCGATGCTTGGAAAGTTGGCTGCGCTAGTGCAAGTGCGCGGCTCGACATTCGATCTCGACTTTTCACTTACTCATTTAAAACTAACGATATTCTCTGTTACCGGCAATATGGCACGATAATTGCTATTACCATCGAATGAGATAATTCCATTGGCATAAATAGTTGCCGATACATAGTGGGCTAAGTCGAGATTGATCATTGAGCCTATTATTTAACAGCTATTACGTGAAGCTATTTATGTATATCCAATCTTCTATCCAAGCTTCGAACAAGTAATTTAAGCGAGTTGAGCCTGGTGTCGATAATTCTTGGAAAAATTTTTATACTCCATATTATTACTAATCATCTATATATATATATATATAAATTATTCGAGCACCTGTGGTAAAAGCAGCGTATTATATAAAGTTTCGTCGAGATTACGCTCACCTCGGCATAACTCGAGGAACTTGAATTCGAGAGTCGCGGCAGCCGTCGCGTTGCGTATTAAGTAACGAAAAAAGTGTAAACGCCCCACGGCATTAGGATAACGTCATTGAAGTAAATAGAGGCACTCGGTAAGATCCGACTAGCCGGTGAGCAGTGATAACGTACCTGGGGTATTGTGAGCCGGCGTCGCGGCGCCGATATTCTGCAACGCCCCATGGACCGTGACGTACTCGGCGAACTCAGCCGCCAGGGTATCGGAGGCCTGGCGCGAGACATCCGAGTGGGCCGTTGTCGCGAGCTTGTTATCGTACTGCGCCGACGTGCTGTCCTCCTCGACCTCGTAGTCGCTGTCGTAAGACGAGTCCTCAGCCTCCGCGCCACCCCCGCTGCCCAATATCGTGCAATCCACGTACTTCTGTAACAGTGAAGTACACGCGTGCAATTATCTTTACGTCGTTGGCTAAATACTTTTCACCACTCCTTTCGCCCTATCCCTTTCCGCGCTCACCAACGCCGTTTTATCCATTCGTTCAAAAATTCACGACATTATCTTACATTTTTAACTTACATTTTCTTACGACACTCTCGCTTTTACTGTTCAACTATAGCATCGCCTTTTTTTGGTTCTTAAATTCTATTTTTAAATACTTTTTATTAAATTTCTTTTTCTTTTTTTACTTTTTATCATATTTGCGTATATATATATATATATATATATATATATATATATATATATATATAGTTGTCATGAGATTCGTGTGATTGTGCAACCGATAGTGCTCTGACGATAATAATGAGGATGATAATATGAGGATAATAATAAGGAGGAATACAGTGTGAATTCGTAACTTCGCTTATATTCCTTTCGAGACGAAGATCGTTCCGTTAAAAGGAACGATCAATGTAAGAAATGTAAAAGGCTTCGTAACAAACTCGTAAAGCTGAATACAAAATTATACTTGTGGAACATTTTGAGTTGAAGGTCGTTGCGGACGACAGAGTTATCATAAAACTTATTTTGAAATGTAATTGTATTACATTTATGTAAGACTACAATGCACAACAGACCATTGCGTATAACCACGCGTAGACGTACATTTTATAATTATTATAAATGCTTTAATTATTATGTAGTCAATGTGGCGATTAATTATTTGCATTATCCATTCGAGAATGTAATATTTCAAAAGCACTTGCGGCTATTAACTTTAGATAAAAATAACGAGTCTTACAATTTATCGGAAATCTTTTATGTATTTGTCGTTCGTTAAAATTATTTAATTCTTTCGTTTTATTCGAGAATTTTAACGTTATAAAATCCTGATGCGATTAATAATTATCTCATATATTTAAACATGTTTGTATTTGAAAAGCAAATCCGTATTTTGTCACATTAACACATAATATACGGATTTAGTTTGATGCATTGACGCTTATAAATAATAGGCGTATTGTTATTTATTCAGTTGTTCGAATAATTAAAGGACGAAAAATAATACTAAATTTGCTATTAAGTTACCACGATGATTATCTCGGATAATTGTGAAAAGATAGAAGATTCTTGAGCAAACCAGTCGCAAAGTATTCATAATGAAAGTAAAAGCAATTCATTATTATCATCTGCAATAAAGTAAATATATCTCTTATGAAAACTCTCAGATCCTTCAATAATAAGTAGCTGTTGAAATTAAAATAGTTTAAATTTTACTTTTAATTGCCATAGAATCTACAAAAAAAAAAAATCATTTTTCTTTACATACTTAAAGATATATTGTATAAAATTTCTTATAAAAAAAAAATTACTCTCTAACAAGATACAAAATTGTTTCCGCACTAATTAATACCAACTCAACTCAATAGAGAGTCGACTTTCTAACATTGTAGTCGGCCAATAAGAGCTAAAAAAAGAAAAATGAAAATAAGATCCTACGCACATAAAATTATTTCACATCAGTATTGTGAGAAATATTTTTCAATGTAATTAATAATTTTAAAACACAGTTGTATAAAATTATCGGGCATATTAATTATCGTCTGCGAACAAAATTATTGATTAACGTACAATAACATATTTAATAAATAATGACTTCTTCGCTTATTGAATGTTGAAGAAACCTAAATAATCTAAATAAAAAACCTAAATGAACCAAAATATTGTATTTATCGTCGATGTTAAGAGGGGTTGCTTACATTGATAAGTACATGCTAAAATATTAAAATAGTTTCTAATCAATTTCACAAAGAAACGCTTTAAAGTTCAAGTATGGTTGTATGGTATATTAAAGTTAATCTCCATGTGATTGCAGTAATGTTTCCATTTCATAATAAATTCGTAGGCTGAATTAAGAAGGATACTCTGCACGAAATTGTAAATCTGCACTTGTTATCCCGTAATGTTATCGCAGTAAAGTAAAATTTTATAATGATGTTATTTCATTAGCATGAAGTAAATGTAAATATATTCCTAGGAGATTAGAATTGCGAGAAATGGCTCAATGGTAACGTGGAAGAAATAATATTTATTGGACGTATGCGAATAATATAATTGTGCGTTTCGTTAAGGAAAGAAAATAAAGCATCGTCGTTGAGGACGATATTTCTGGAAACACGGAGAAGCGAAATTACTTAATTAATACGAATTACTAAAGCAAATAAAAATAAATAACGGCGCTCCCGACGTAACAGTGCCCGAGTGGACGATTATAAATTATCTTATTGAAAGGGACTCTTTATTATTCTTTCTTTCCTTCCTTTTCTTTTCATTTGGCAAGCATTGAAGAGCAATCGCACTGACAGAGTAGCCATTACCCTCGCTATAAAAGTAAAGCGCCGTCGTTGAAAAAAGTGAGATGAAAACACGGAGAAAGAGGTATAGTGGCGGCGGGGGAGGGGAGGTAAATCGTAGTGGAAGGCCTCACGCAAGGAATGCGAACGAGCAAAATTTTCTGTCGTCAAAGAACGAGTTTGCGATGTCGTCTGCCCACTTAAGTCCGCGCCCGCTTACTATCCCACCGTCGAGGAAAATTTTCCGAAGGGAAAAAGGAAAAAAGTATTTCGCATGCTCGCTCACTGCGACATTCGGATTTACGTATGTGCTCGCAGGAGCAACGACAAAGAAGAAGGACATAAGCCAGATAGATAGATAGATAGAGAGAGAGAGAGAGAGAGAGAGAGAGGAACAAGAGACTCGGATGATGGAGAGACGGATCTATCCTCGTATCCGTGCGCAGTGAAAGTAGCGGGACTACAGGGAAAACAGGTGCGTGCGCGCCGTGCTACCTCCGTCTTTCTTTCTCTCTCTCTCTCTCTCTCTCTCTCTCTATCTATCTATCTATCTGGCTTATGTCCTTCTTCTTTGTCGTTGCTCCTGCGAGCACATACGTAAATCCTGCCGTCGTAGCTGCCGTCGTTGTTGCTTTCACTCTGGGAGCGCTTTTTAACGTGGCCAGAGATTAATCGATCCCACTCCCGCTCGGACACCCGGATCAGCAGTCCCCGATTCTAGTGAACGTTGCTCGCCAGCATCTCGGGAAATTGTCAACGCGAGTGCGCCGTGGGAAAATCGCATTGCGGCGCTTATGCCGTGGAGCAGGAGCACGAGCAGTGGAGCTACGGCGGAGTAACCGGTGGGGGTAACGATTTGGGGAAAATCGGATGGGAGAGGGGTCGTGTTCACCACGATGATGATGCGATTTGTAAACAACGGAGCCGATCCCAATAAAGCGAGTGCGAGCGCTCGCTAGTCGACGGCACAAGCGTGAAGAAAATTCGCCGTCAGTTCGAACGTAAAATACCCGGCACTCGCTCTTTATCGCTTAGCCGGTACGCGATAATGCGCGCGCGCGCAAGCGCGCACCGCGCACAACAAATGACTCGCCCGCTTAACGAAACGCAACCGAAGGACGGAGAGTCGCGCTCCCGTGACGTTCCCCGGCTCGAGTTAGTCCGACGATCCAAGCGGCCATTACAGCAGCGATAAATCATCACAGCGCTTCGATTTGTAAAAGAGGCAAAATAAGATGTAGATGCGGAGGAGGTGGAGGAGGAGGAGGAGGAAAACGATCGAAGGAGCAATTCGTAGTAGAAGAAACGGCACTCGCGTTGAAGCGAAAAAAACTCGAGGCTCCTTTGACTTTACGTCGGAGCTATCGTTGGGGTCGCCGAGCACGCGGTCAGTCCGCTCTCACCTTTCCCATGATCGTCATGTCGCTCTTCGAGGATGATGCACCGGCGTCGAGCGGAGCTTCCACCGCCTCCTCGTCACCTGCGCGCTCCAGCTCGCATGCCCGAGCTCGACTGTGAGCGCGCGCGTGCGCTGCTCGACTGGCTGGGACCGCTCGGGGGGCCCCCGGGCCGGCGCTTAGTGAATGGGCCGCGCGGCAACGCGCATCGCCGCCGGAGAAACGAGCCAGTCCCCGTGGCCCAGCCGCCGTCGACGTCACGACGCTTCTGCGGACGTCGGGGAAGGGGCCGCGGGCCGAGGCACCACCACCTCCACCTCCACCATCCCCGTCACCGCTACCACTACCACCACTTCCACAGTTAAACCTCCCCCCCCCGGCCCCATCCTCTTCCTCCTCAACCTCCTCCTTCTCCTCCTCCTTCTCAACCTCCTCCACCTCAACCTCCTCCTGCTCCCTACAAAACGAGATACGCCGCTTTTCGCTGCCGCGGAGAAGGAAGCCTCGACCGAATGACGTAGTCCAAGTCGGGATGTGCTAGGGCCGGACATGGTGAGTGTTTCACCCCCTTCCTTCTCCTCCTTCTCCACCTTCTTCTTCTTCTCTCCCTATTCCCCCGGGCCCAGCAGCCGTGCCGTCAAAATCGACAACGGAAGGAGCCTCTTCTGATCGCCGACCGTTATTATTCCTTAATCCTGAGGCCCGCCAGAAATCTCATGGATCGGCCTCAGGGATTCGGCCCATTAACCGGCGCTCCCAATCTTACCACTACCACCACCATTATATTCCCTCCATCCACCCCATACCGTACCGTCCCAATCTCGAAAAATTCACCGTTTGCACTATACTAGCCACGTTAAGTATATCGCTCGCACGAATCGTCGGTCGTTTTGTATGAGCGGAACTCCCCAACAACTTGCCCATAACCCAGCTATATCAGCCAATACCACATGCTTCACCCTCGATCCTTGATGAATCACTTGCCTGATCCCGATAGCGAGCTCTCGCTAAGGAAAGCGATTTCGTTACAGCGGGCCAATGCTCCACCAAGCATTTCGCGCAAATCTCAGTAATTCATAGAGAGCCCGACTTTCTTCGACGACTCTTCATTTCCTCCCTATCCTCGTCAATTGCTCAATTATTTACGCTCAATTGAATTAACGCATCCCCGAGAGAGGGCAATCAATTCCTCCACATGAAATATCTCCCAATCGCCGCTGTGTATTTATTCCACACAAATCTCGCCACCCATTCATATTGATCTGGGACATTAGTCGTTAGGCTAAACTAACGAGGGTGGGTGTTGGGATCATCATCCCTAGAGGCGGCGAAGAGGTTGGAAATTTTTAGCCGGGTGCCTTCGTTTGCCGGGCGAAAAGCTAGCCGATCGGAGTATTTTTGGCCGGTAAGGTGACACCGAGCTCGTTGGCTCGCTGATTCGTTTCGGGGCTGACGAAAAGCGCGAGGCAGAACGCAAAACTCGGCAGAAGGCCACGGGCTCCGGACCCTCGCTATGTGCGTGCGCCTAATGGTAGCGCCGAGAACAATAGGAACGGACGGAACAGCGTGTACTCCGACGCTGAAATCGAAAGTCGCCGCGGTCGGAATGAATTTCTTCGGCGCCCACTAAAACGGGAGAAAGAGGATGGAGTGGGCGCGGGACGAGCCGTGGGAGCGAGGGATCCGGGATCCGGGCGCGACGGGACCCCCGGTGAAATCGAGGCCAACTCTCGCGGGGGTCGGGCCGAGCGCCGGCGCCATCACCGTGTCTCGCGATCTCGATATTTACGCGAGGTTTTATCACCGGGACGGACGCCGCGGTCCTCCTCTTGCTCGTCACCCCAAAACAATGGCGCATCCTCGTTGGATTTGTGTGGGGGTCGCGTGCTTATACTGGCCGAGGGCACGGTTCGACGCTTCGCTCTGATAATCCTTGCCCCGGACTTTTCCTAATTGCCCCACTCGCCCCATCACCGACCCGATATTGCGTATCGCGTCCGGGTGGGCCGCAATCGCTAATTGCGTCAGCCGATCACGATTATCATCGGCCCAGTGCCGCCGCCGATCTATCCCCCCTCCCCCCGCTCCTGCCAATACCACATCGTGCCCCACGAACTTCCAACAACGAAACATTCGCGATTTTCGACATCACGGACTGACTATTATGGATTTATTGGGAGGATTCGGGAGAGGGTCCCCGAGCGTTACATATGTCTTTCTCGTTGCCTCGTCTCGGAGAAACGACGCGTATCACATTCCGGCTGCACCACACGCGAGACTCGACGACGAACATCGACAATTCATCCGACTTTGATGCATAATTGGCCGGATTATTATTATTGGGCGGTGAGACGCGAGCAGCCGATGGGAATCAGCGCGGCCGGGAATAAGCGCTTCGAAATTACGCTACCAATGCTATTACAGAGCCACGTACTTTCATTTTCCGCGATAATAAGCGGCAAGTTGGGCAAATCCGAGCCGCCGCCGTAGCATACAAATATATATATATATATATATATATATATATATATATATCAATTAAAGAGTTGCTGCTGCTGTTTCCTTGGCCGATAAATCACGGCGATCATGAAGCCTAATTATTTCATGGTAATCGTTTCGTCGATTACGGTCGTCGATCGACTTTCATCCATGCGTTTCCAGGACAAAAAATAATGTTAACTCCACGGTGAGGAACAAAACACGGACACGAGGAAATCGCAAGAACAAAACGAAAAAAATTAAGTAAAATGAAAAAAAGAACAAAACAAGAAAAAAAACAAACAAACAAACAAACGAAAAGGAAAAACAAAAGGACAAACACGGTTTCTTATAGAATATTTTAAGAGCGCTGGCGAAGCCGCGTTATACGGCACTGAAGAACCTCACGCATTAGCCAATCGTGTACCGGTAACGAGGATCCGGTTTACCAGACTACCTTTTACACACACGGCATTCACGTATATCCCCACACGGGTGCGCGCGCGCGCCGCCGCCACCGCCACCGCCGCCGCCTATGTCCATAATCGTCCCCACACAGACGCGTCTCCGCGTAACCGACGTGTGCAGAAGGCCGGGAGTCGCGTGTACCCGAGGTACTGGTGTGCGCGACCTGAAAGACGCGAGAGCCCGCGGGGCTTTGACGAGGGAGGGACGGTGGGACACAGCGGCGGTCGGGGAATAGGGCGGTTGGGACGGGGAGAAGAGACGGATGGACGGATGGACGGATGGACGGATATGCAGATGGATCGGAGGCTGCATTAATAAAAAAAGACGCGAGCGAATGAAGCGACATGTAAAGGTTAGCAGGGCGTATGCGCCTTATCGCGACTGGACACCTGCCCATATCTATTTCGAAAATGCACAGGCGCAAGCGCGCCTTCTTCTCCTTCCCCTTCACCTCCTCAACGTCCACGTCCCCTCGTCCTCGTCCTCGTCCTCCGAGGGACTTGCGACTTTGTTGCTTGTGTACGCGTTTACAGAATCGCCCACACGTACGCCGATAATTTTCATTCATAAAAGGTGCATGGTTGAGTGCGCCGAGAACGCGCATAGATACTTGCATTTTACGATCTCGAGGGGGACGGGGGCCTGGGTGAGAGGCACAGAGGAAGGGAGGGGGATTTATAGGCACAGGATGCGTTCGTCTTATGCACTTTTCTCGAAACACTGTGGGAGCGCAGCTATAACGAAGCGGAATTTTGTATGTGCCGCGGTGGAGGACGTTACGTTCGAAAACTCTACGCAATTATATTGGAGGAGATTCTTAAAAAAAAAAAAAAAAAAAAAAAATCTCTCGGCTTTCCCGGGAAAGAGAAGAGAACGAGGGACGAGCGGGCGCAAGACGTTATCGTGCAATCGTTTATGTAGAGTAAAAACTCAAGGTTTTGCCCTTAAATTCAATGGAGAAATACAATGACGAATGTGCGCAACAAGCAAACCCAAATCCACAAATCCACGAAGCAAGAAAAGAATATTTATGCGCTAAAACGTTACAAAAGTCTGAAAAGACGTTTCCCTGATAATATCCGATAGGAAATCAACAAACATTGATAATAAAAGTGTCTGCGATGAGCGATCGCGGCTCGCTGACATGCGCACATTGTCATCCATATATATTTGAAATAACTATTAGCAGTTGTACGATAAAATAAATCTTTTTTTTTTTTTCTTCAATCTTTCACTGACTCCTTTTGCCTTGAGGGAAAGCGCTCGACTACTTACCGAAGCAATGATCTTTTATGGCATATATTGGTCGTGCTATAATTTGAAAACAATTTTGAGATTTATTAAATGACTGGAATCAAAATGCTTGAAGAAAAAAATAAAAAACGCAAATTACTCCAAGGAAATATCTTTTATTTCGACCTACATGAAAATAATAATATTTAAGGTTTTTCTCTTTCTTTCCTTTTCTCCTTTTTTTTTCTTTTGAAAAACATTTTACAGCCTACGTATTGTTGTGCCAGCTACGGGATATCTTACAAATTTTTCCATATTTACTTTCATATGTGCATTGTAGAAATGTAAATGCTACCTTTCATCTTTTGTCAAACAAGAAATACAAACGATTACGCGACTTGCCTAAATGTTTGAACAAACGCCATCGTTCGTTTAAGAAGAGAAAAATCCTTCATTCAAATCCATTAGGCCGCTGTTTCTATTTGTAATAGAAAGCGAATAAAATAATTAAAAGAAATTTTTGTTTAATTTTGTACCATCTAAAAGCGACAGAATTATCAGAAATAATTCTTTTGCAAAGAAAAATAATCTAATCGGCTTAAGTTAAAGTCTGCTCCTTTGATAGGCTAATGAATCAATTCAAATAAGAAAATCTTATCTCCATTATTTTGTCTCCACGGTATTTTATTTCAGTAAAATTTAATAATAAAAGGCAAGTTCATTATTCCAGAATATGGGATAATTGAACTTGTAAGATGTTGCAAGCACACTGTAACCAGATATCAACGTAATAGTTAATGTTTTTGTTGTTGCTGTTGTTGTTGTTGTTGTTGTTGTTGTTTTTTTAATATAAATTAAAACTCGGAAGTATATAATATTAAATTATGCGTAATAAATACGTAATTATTTTATAATCCAACACTTACACCAAATATTTTATCCGATAGATTTTTTCATTATTCTTGCGTTTGTTCTATAATTAGAATTATATATTATTTTAAGCAAACAACATTACCAAA